ATGCATATCCCAAACCCTGGGTACCCGCCCGATCGTACCCCCCTTTGGGGGTTATACTCATTCCCTGCCAAGCGTGGGGGTGAAGCCCTTGAAGCCGAAGGGTAACAGATAACGGGGTAGAATGAGGACGAAGGGATCGGAGGAAGGGAGGGGAGGGGAAGAAGGAGGGAGGACGACGATTTGCGCTGCGAGTGGCGATTCAGCTTGCGCCAGCCACTCCAACACAGGTTAACAATCAGTTTCGCCATGGGTCGCACCATAAACAGCGCCACGTACCACCCCCTTGCAACAAACAAAAAACGTGGATACCCCCACGGGGGGACGTACAGCTGCGAACTGGTGTCTGAAACAAATTTCGTAGAACCCTGAACAGAAGCGGGATGTTGGGAGAGTGGGGCGGAAGGATAATGAGAAATGCAACAGCGTCGGGAGGAGGGCGGAAGCCCCAAGTGAAAACGCGATTCTTCAATACATTGTGAGGAAGTATCAAGCGGGAGCCGCGATCCGGTAAATTGCAAGGAAGTCCTAAGCGAGAGCCCGATTCTTCAATCAATTGTGAGTAAGTATCAGGCGGGAGCCGCTGCTGTTGTAAACCAAGGGCCCACAACGCAATTTGACCCTCAAGACTTCCCCGGATACAAAAAAAACTGGGTGCGAGCCCCAGGAAGCGCACTTCAATCAAAACAAAAACAATGTGCACCGGACGGGGGGACCAACAATAATTAGTTTTCAGGAGTGAGAACTCAACAACAACATCAACAACAACAACAACAACAACAACAACAATAACAATTTTAAGACTGTTCGCCCTTACATGCTCGAGTGTCGAATAACGCGTATTTCCCAAAACCTCGATACGCGCCCTCTTCGTCTTCGATCGAACCCCTTTTGGGGGGTATACCTTTCTTCCCTGCAGGCCGGGCCCCGGCAAGCGGCGGGGCGGCCGCGGACCGTCGGCCTGGCCAGCGGCAGCGCTGATCGGCGGGGCGGCCGCGGACCGTCGACCCGACCCCAAGAGGGACGGACAGAGGACCGACCACGACGACGACGACGACGAAGACGACGGCGACGACGACGACGACGGCGACGACGAGCGAAAGCGAGACAGAACGACAGCAGGGCCACGAAGGGCACGAAGTAGGCCACGAAGGGCGACAGCGGGGACACGAAAGGAATGCGTTTGGGGCCACGAAGAGCGCGAATGAGCGGGGGCCACGAAGGGCAGATAATGCGGGGCCACAGAAGGCAACTATGTGGCCACTGAGGGTAGCAACTGGGCCACGTAGGACAGTGACGGGAACACAAATGGCAACAGCGGGGCCACGAAGGGAATGCACATGGGGCCACAACGGGCGCGACTCATGGGTGCCTGCGTGTCGGGAGCGCGGCGCTTAGGCAAATTGCAGGAAATTTCAACGTAAGGCTTCTTCAGTAAGTTGCAAGCAAGTCTCCAGCGAGAGCGCGACTCCAGAGCGCCGGGAGAGCGATTCCTGAATAAGTTGTAGGGAAGTCCCAAGCGAGAGCGCGATTCCTGAATAAAATGCGAGGAAGTCTCGGGCGGGAGCGGGGGTCCTGGCTAAATTGCAAGGAGGTCTCAAGCGGGAGCCGTTGTTGTTGCAACCCGGGGGCCAGGGGCCCAGTTTGAGGATCAAGATTTTCCCTGTTGAAAAACATGCTGCGAGCGTCGAGGGGCACACTTTGATTAAGAAAAACTGTATGTACTGGTGGGGGGCATCAACAATAATTACTCTTCCGACATGAGAATTCAAAAACAACAACAACAACAACAACAACAACAACCTCAGCAGTGCCAGGGTTTTCATGCGACGCCAGCCAATACCCCCACTTTGTGGGGGGGCAGTGCAAGCTCTACCAAATATCCACACGACTCTTCGCCACCACCCACACCCAGCTTCCCGCCCTATGACGTTCGGACACTTCACTTCGTGGCCTGCGGACGACCGTGGCTACTACACTGGCGTGGAGTACACACCCACAGAAGTTGTTAAGCCTACGTTCGTACACCCACAGAAAAAACGAATGTGTCCCGCATGGTATTATTTGACAGGGATGATGGCCCTGGCAGGTGCGCAACCGTTGTCGCAGAAGTTCGAAAAAGTTGCTCGCAAAAGCCCGTTTGACAGAAATGTTTAAAAAGTGTTGGGTTTCCTACGAATCCGCAAGAGCGCGCGGGATGAGATTTTGACAATTTTTTGTTGAAAAACCATTGGTTTTTTGATGTTTTTATGTTAAAATCGCTGCGAACACTAAGGTTTTGGAAGGATTTCGTCTTGCGCGCGCGAATGTCCACTTTACCTTATTTTTTGCAAGGGATTCTTGAAATTTGATTATATTAGAACAAGAAATGTCATTTTCTATTGTTTTTTGCAAGGGAAAGCGGATTACAACAAAACAACCGGATCCTGTACACACCCTCTTTTCTGAGGCTTCCTCACGAAAATGATGAAAATGTAGCTGCGGCCTAGGCGGCGCAGGGGGGGCGCGCACCAGGGGGCCCAACAATAATTATTCTTTAGAATAAACAATGTTCAACAACAACAACAACTACTACTACTACTACTACTACTACTACTACTACTACTACTACTACTACTACTACTACTACTACTACTACTACTACTACTACTACTACTACTACTACTACTACTACTACTACTACTACTACTACTACTACTACTACTACTACTACTACTACTACTACTACTACTACTACTACTACTACTACTACTACTACTACTACTACTACTACTACTACTACTACTACTACTACTACTACTACTACTACTACTACTACTACTACTACTACTACTACTACTACTACTACTACTACTACTACTACTACTACTACTACTACTACTACTACTACTACTACTACTACTACTACTACTACTACTACTACTACTACTACTACTACTACTACTACTACTACTACTACTACTAACTACTACTACTACTACTACTACTACTACTACTACTACTACTACTACTACTACTACTACTACTACTACTACTACTACTACTACTACTACTACTACTACTACAACTACAACTACAACTCCTCCACAACAACAACAACAACAACAACAACAACAACAACAACAACAACAACAACAACAACACCAACAGCAACAGCAACAGCAACAACGTCAACAGCAGCAACAACAACAATTCTCCGGCCCAACGGGCCAGAGGCGCGCTAAGATCTCCAGCGACTGGTGAACAATATATTCTAGTTCGCGCGAGCGGGGCAGCTTCTGGGAGCGCCCGGACGAGAAGTACCCCGAGCAGGTCCCGGCCAGTGCGGCTCAGAGATGGTTTTCCTCCTCGGCGCTGCCTTCCAGGACTCCCAGAGCGCTCCAGGAACGCGCCAAGAAGGCTCCGAGACGCCCCCGAGACGGTCCAAGGGGCCCCGAGTCGCCGAAGGATTGCCCCAAGACGCCCATGATGGTCTCCAGACGGCCCTAGACGCCGCCGAGAAGCTCCAACAGAGCGTCCAAAGGCCCTCCGAGAGAGTCCCAACAAGCAAAGCGCATCTCATTCCCATTGGTAGGCGCATATTTCTGGCATGGACGACGTTCGGAGGTTCACAGCGTCATGCCCAAGAGCCCCCCAAGATCGCCCCAAGATGGCCCAACGTGCCCGCAAGATGCGCCCAAGAGGGCTCAAGAGGGCTCCAAGACGACCCAAGAGGGCTCCAAGACGGCCCAAGACGCCCCCAGAGAGGGAACTCGAAATGACATTTGAAGCTTTCCGACCCCAGATGCCTCTCCGAGACTACCAGCAGGCTCCCAAGAAGCACCCAGAAGCGCCAAGAAGCCCCCGAGAGGCCCAGACTCAGGCCCCCAGGGCACCCAAATGGCCCTGACGAGGCCTCAAGAAGCTTCAAACATGTTTCCAAAAGGCTTCCGCGACACCTGCCAGGAGACCCCAACACCGCCACATCAAATGCCCCATGCGCCCCATCAAGCCCCAGAGTAAGCATCCACGACCAGCAAACCCCCACGAAGGCACCCGAAGTCCAACAAAACACCACACAACAAGCCGCCCCGCGAAAAGCGACCGATTCCCCTGACAACTCCCGAGAAATCCAAACGAATCGCCCTGGCATCATGCTCCACGCAACGCATCAGAAAACAGCCGACGCCCCTGCAGCTCAACACCGCCAACGACCACTCGGCCAGTCGACGCAGCAGTGCCCAAAAATGGGCCGGCGGACTGAGCGAAGCGATTGGATAACAACAACAGCGCCAGCAGTAGCAACAACAACACACAAGCAACAACAACAACAACAACCAACACAACAACAAAACACAACATCGCCAACAACAACAACAGCAACAACAACACTAAACACACAAACAACAGCAGCAGCAGCAACAACAACAACCACAATAACACCAACAATAACAACAGCAACAACGACAACAGCAACAACAACA